AAGAGTGTCACAAGTTTTCAGCTGGAACATCCTATAGAGTGATAAGCACTGATTTGACACAGGATTGGAAAAAACTCACCTGGTCAGACTGATCAACTAATACTGCTGTAAAATAATTAGCCATCAAATTTCAGGTTTTGATGAGGATTTGAAGTCTAAATATCTATTAGCACTGAGAAAGTAACGTTTCCACTATCATGTATTGCAATTTCAGAGTTCTCAGATCTGTAAAAGGTCATGTCACTTAATATCTTTTAGTAATTTGGTTTATACAGTAGAGATCAGTATTACATACTATCACAACAGTACTGGTTTATGTTTATAGCCTGCCACAGGTAACTCACATCTAATTCTCTGGTGTTCTTTGAATAACCCTGCTAGAACTTTAGCAGACTGAAAAAGTCAGCCTTCAAAAGAATACTAATAAGGCATATAGTTCCATTATATGCTCTAAATTTGCAGATGTAATATATATATAGCTATTGCTGAAAACAGAAGATTCCCATTTACACACTTGTATCACAGATTATCTTTCAATCAGTTTACATCTCACAGAGGTAAAAATCCATCCAGTACCTTTTGAAAAGAGTCTTCATCTGTTATATCATATACTAGAATAGCGCCATTAGAATCCCTGTAGTAGATCGGCCCCAGTGCATGAAATCTTTCTTGGCCAGCTGTATCCTGCATTTAAAATATACTTGTTAGCATTTAAGACAAAGCAAACAATACTTCAAGAAACTCCAAATACTTTGAAATTTTACTTTATTAAGAAGTGCCTAACATTTGAGCTCTAGTAAACCTAAGTAATTTTTCATGAAAATATTCTGTTTAGCTAGGAAAGGGAAAATAGGAAAGTAAACATACCCATATTGCAAGGTTTACTCTTTTCCCACCAATATTTAGCTTCTTTGTAAGAAAAGATGCCTGGAAAGCAAAACAGATTAGAGTTAAGTTTTGTACACAAATGTCTCATTTGACTTCAGATTAATTTGTTAATAAAAACATCTGAATCAATAAAAGACAGATTTCTGGATCAAAATACTCTTTAAGCCAGAAGGCTGAGTCAATACTAAACCAGTTAGTCATTTCACTACAGTTTGCCAGGAGTCTGTTCTAAATAAATTTGGCTTAAGCCAATCATTTACTATGTGTTTTTGCTGAATGATTTGGGAAGGATAAGACAGTTGTGTGGAAAGAGTCTGAATTCACAACACTGATAAGTCTAAGCTGAACTCAAAGCATTCCACAAGAGTACATGAAGTTTGGGTAGGGACCAGGCTAACAGGATTTTTAATTTGCAGGAATTAAGTGAAGTAGTTCACTATTAGTGAGGTACTAGAACAAATAAAATAGTTCGAGTTTATCACTAAAAGTCTCAGAACACTAGTGTTCTGCAAGTTTCCTTGTCTGTATCTTTTCCCTGTGGGCCCTGAAAGTGAGCCCACAACTCTCCCCATCCTTTTCTGGGGGCTTTTCTGGGGCAGTGGTATGGTTTGCTTGGAAGGTTTTTTTGGTTTGGTGTCATCCCCCGACACTGAAAAAAAAAAATATTCACAGGAGATTGTGGCAAGGTTATTTAGCATTGAGCTACTGTACTTGCTCTCTGTATTAAAACTTGATGAATTTGTACTAATTAAGTTTTAATCTACCTAAAGTCTTAGGCCCCTAACCAAAAAAGGAGAAACAATATCCTGTATCAGATACCCTGTTTACAAGCAAGTTTGTGTAAAAAGCTTGCCCGATAACAAGATTGGAACCTGGTATTTGAAGTAGTCATGGTTAGTAATGAGCAGAAGGCTTTGCGAACATGCTGTGAGAAACAGTCAATACTCTATTACAGATTAAATGCTTCATTCTTCTTCACTGTGTTCATATACTTGAAGAGTACTGTTAGCAGGCTCCGTTCTTTAATTACTAGGTACGGGTAAGTTTGGCATATTTACCACCAGTAAAGTGCATTTTACAGCCACAGTGGCAAACATGCCAAAGACAAACCACCTAATATCTACCTTTTAACACACACACACACACACACACACACCCCCCTCCAAGTTCCATTTGTCTCATGGAAGAGCAAGGTTACTATTCTACACACACACACACACACACACACACACACACACACCCCCCTCCAAGTTCCATTTGTCTCATGGAAGAGCAAGGTTACTATTCTGCACTCTTCCTGAGGTTAGAGAGCAAAAAATAATCAGGTAAACAGGAGGACTATGCAGTTTTTAGAAATCTGGGGGGAACCCAACATGGAAGGAAGAGCCTTAACTATTGTTTTGAGATAGTTTAGGGACCTAGTTTAGGAAAACAGTCAGCTGCCAAGAGTGTCAAAGTCTTTGAAATCACCACAGTCTAGACAGCATTAGGTAATTACACATAGACGACGATTCAACTTTTTTTCTAATCTCCCAAGAATTTACCAAATTGAATATTACAGATTTAAGTCTGAGTTAAGTCTTACTCAACTTACAGTCGGTAACTCCTTTCCACATTGTTTTCATTACTATGACAATTCATTTTTTCTAGGACCTTCAAAAACCCACATATATAGGACCACAGTTAATACAAAAATAAGTAATCTCAAACAGCTCTTTGAAGTAAGCTACTAATTTTGGTATTTTGACTCTAGTGTCTTATGACTGGTCTGAAGAATACTTGCACGCTTAGAAGGAAAGGATAATGCAATTATAAGAGCTAAAACTCCATTCTCTTTTTGTGCCTGTAGAAAATCTTTTCTTTCTTTTAATTCTTTCTTCCAAGAGCTCAGTTTCACATGTTCATCAGGTCCTGTTAGGAGCTGATAAAGGGGCCCAAGTAGAACACAAGGAAGGCCCAGCTGGAAAAGATTCTCTTGAAGGTCACTGCATAAAAGCAGGTGTATGTCACCTGCCCCTTGACTGCTTCATCTTCAGAGGCAAGCCAGGCATATGAACACTGCATATAGCACTGAACCTCCTTGCATTGTCCCCCACCCCCCACTATCTTAGACAGCCAAGACACCTTTTCCAGGTTATGCAAAGTCCAGCAAAGAAAGCGATCAGGATCTGCATAGTATGATTAGCACCACATCAGTGGCTCTCTTGGGTTGGATATTTTGCAGTCCTCCACACATTTGAAAGATTAGTACACAAAAGTTGTATTTATCTTGAGTAATTAACTAACAGAAAGTGTCTACCCAATTTGTTTTAAAAAATAGTTTGACAGTAGGTTTATTATTGGAGTAATTCCAGCACAGTTCACTTGTTATCAATTTATAGCTTACAATTATTTTATCAAGAGCACTGACCTCAATATTTCAGTCAATGGGAACCAATTCTAACTGTCCCACCAAGTCTGACAACAGGTTATGGATTGTATTCATTGCTTGCAAAAAACCCCACCTTTCCTGCATCAGCTTTTCCACGTTATTTTAGATAAGTGTTTTATGTGAATCAGTAGCTACCTTAATTTCAATTTGCAGGTCATCAGTATCTTAAGTACATGACTTGAAGCTATCATAACTACAACAACACAAGCCAGCAGCCTCCTAACCTCAAAGGAAGTTCCAGTTCACCATTTCCCTCTAGCTAGCGTTTAGGGAAAGGGCGCATGGAGAGAAGAGAAACAGTTCCCTTTCACTAAAAGCCTTCTGTTACTAGCACAAAAGGAGCCCTCCTATTTGGACATACACAGGTTAACTTCACAACAAAATAATACTTAAGTGTTAGAATTCAGACAGGAAAGCATAGATACACATTAGCTAAAAGATTCACACTGACCAATTTAAAGACTTCCTATGCTCTCTCCCATCACTGGGCTCACACTGCAGGAAGCCCCAGCCAACACCACTAAAAGTTTCCAGAAGGCTACAGTCTCACCACCCTTTTTGTTGCAATCATGTTGGAATAAAGCACTACACAGTACTTTCTTTAAGTCAGAGATTACTGTGGATGGAGAGCCTCTTGTCTCAGTATCTAGTAGTCTTTTCATATGATTCATCACTGTGGCTCCTTTGCTGAATCAGGAGCAAAGTAATTATCTAATTTTGGCTTTATTGGAACAAAAGTAATTTGGTGCAATACTTTGAACTGATGCCATGAAACAAAGCCACCATATCAGATTAGGCCTTTAATCTTAAAAAAAAAAAAGGATGTTTTGCAAAAATGTCACTTCATGGCTTAATCAGATACCCTAGTTTCACCTTATCTTGTTTTTTAGGGGATTTTTTAATTTGCTAGTGGAAGAACTTATTAAAACTTTGCTCTAGAACTGTAAAATGTAGGAATACAAGAATAATAAAGATAATACTTCACAAGTGCACATGAGGTACAGTAAGATTCAACAGCAACTGACATTGTATTTTACAATCAATAAGATGTATATGTGACTAAGGAGGCTCAGAACAGAAAAGCAATTGAGTTGAGAAACACCATGCCGTCAGTTAAAAGATACAGGTAGCAACCAGAAACCTAATCACAGCTGAGAAACAAAATCTCACATGTGAGCATGCGCTTCCACTCCTCTACAAGGGCACACACACCCCTTTCCAGACAGCCAAAACTGGAAGCTCTCAAGCCATAGTATCAGAGACATTTTCCTGTCAACATTTTGGAGCCATTTAAAGGTCCACTTTATGACATTTGTGACCCAAGTCTGTATTCCGACTCACTTTTTGCTTCTCATTTTAGGTTTTCCACTACAGATTTAAAGAACATGATTAACAAAAAAAACACCGAGCTGCATCACATGACAAACTACTCTGCTCTACTCTTTCTACATGGGATACGAGAATTCAGCTATACACGATCCTTTCCATGCACTTTAAATTATTTTTTGCCCAGTGCTACACTTCAGCTGCAGCTCTGACGCCTACAAGCTACTAGTCATTTCTGTAGCATAGCAAATATCAATTACCTCTGTGGCAATCAGAGCTACAATCAGCTTGCCGTAAACGCCACACCATGCCTAGTAAACCTACCAATAGATTAATCCAACAGTAGAGTATGAACATAGGGTAACGAAATTTAAAACATGGTTTTTTTAGCTCTTTATAGCAAAAATGAAGCAACAGTATCTGTTTATGAAACATTCCCTGTGTTGTTTCTAGTGTATCTCTAATGTTTCTTTAGTTTTAAGGGACAGTTTCACTATTAAATACTTCTGAGATACCCAACCCACAACAGTTTTCCCCTAAATGCATAGGAATAGTGCACAACTACCCTAAGGCTCTTTTTTGGCATCACCTACTATTTATTCTGTACTTCACAGTATCTCAAAAGTAATTCGAAACCCACTAGTGGCCCACGTGGTTGCAGGGTTTGTTTCTTTATTTACTAAAAAAAAGTATTAAGTATTAATGTATTAAATACATTACAGTGCTAAAACCACACTTCCATACAAATGCTCACAACTGCTAAGAAAGATACCGTGCAACTGGTGTAACTGCAAATAAAAAGCAGAGACATCTCAAAAGACTTAACATACAACCCACAACATGAAGTTTAAAACATGTTTTCTGAGCCCACATACAACATAAGCCTTTTATTTTGTACCATGGCGTACATGCCACTCAGCACTCGTAGGTAATGAAAAACCATTACTTTCAAGCAGACACCTCGTCACATTTCGTAAGTGGAACGTGACTTTTTAGTTCTTTTTTAAATTAGCAGACAGTACTACTGAGAATCAGGCCAAAATTCAGGGAGGCGACGTGACAAGCAAGTAAGCCTTAAGAATCTTTTGTGTTATTAAATCATAAGCCTTAAACTCATAAACCATTTTGTGAAAGCTGTTCTCTTTAAACAGCAGTATTTAGGTAGTTCAAGTGTTCGGATTTGAGAACATGAGGGAGACTATAATTAACAGAAATGCAGCACATATGAAACACTTAGTCATCAGTCACTACCGATTATTACAATAACAACATTACTTTCAAACCACGCTTCCCAAGATTCAAATGAAAACATTCATATACGTAACTGGAAAAAACCAAACCGCATTCAGAACAGAAACCAGGCCTTTAAGTACTGGAAGCTTGAGCGCTAAAGAGAACAGGAAAATTAGCTTCCAGCAAACTCGGCAGGGGACAGCCACCATCTGAAGGGCGGCGGTGGTCACTCCGGCCGCCGTTAAGCGGTGAACGAGCCGGCGAGCACCGAAACCCTAGCGCGGGTTTCAGGAGCAACGCTCCCGGAGCCCCGTGGCGGAAGGGGCAGGCCGGTAAGCGACGCAGGGGCGGACTGGCACCGGCCAGCAGCCCTAGAAGGTGCGCAATGGAAGGGGAGAAGAGCGGCGGACGCCCACCCACCCACCTCCCCCCGCCCTGGCCCGGTAGCTCCGGGCAGGGGCT